AATCACCTGCTTATTACTATTTTTGAATCTACTGAATATACTCATGAAGAGTAAAATAAATGAGGTAACATTTATTTTAGAGTAAAATAATTTAATAAATCAATATCAATAATTTAAAGTTTTAACAATTAATAAATGAAACGTTATACAAAATTATTCGTAGAGTTCAAAAGAAATATATAATATCTTGATAAAAAGATAACCAGTACACTATTACATGACTCATATTTGACGAAGTTATCATAGAATGATTAAAATTTTGCTTTTAATCTATTACAAGACTCATACTTGAAGAAATAACCGAATAAATTTTATTAATTAATGTATTTTAATTTAAATATATCAATTTTAAGTTATTGAATTAAGTTTTATGTAATATCAGTTCTATCTTAAATTATGTAAGAAGCAAGTCATGAGTGTGGAACGAATAAACTTTATAAAATGTAAAATTTAATGCATTATAAAAAATAATAGTAATATCACAATATATTAAACTTTGTAAATTTAATGTATTATAGAAAAAATGATAGATTTCAATATACAATCAGAATATTTATATGATAGTTCTTTGAATTATTGTATAGCTTATTGAACCACTAGAGTTTAATTTATTGTGGATATTGTATAATATTAAATTTTTACTTGAATTTTTAAATTCATAAATCTTCGTAAACATTAACAACAAAAATAAATAGATTCACTTAACCCTTTTAATTTAGTTGATTTATTGACTTATGAAAAAGTCAAATCACCCTTCTTCCAATCTTCCATGCATCTACCAGCAAGTGAACAAAATCAGCCCATCTCCCTATGATTCTTCTGTTGATCAAACAAGGACAGCTTTACCACGCGGTCTCTATATACTCAACCCTATAAATCTCTGATACGTTCTTTTCTTTTCGATTCATCTCACATTCTCACCAACTTTCAACCGGATTACATAAATTTAATAAAATAATCTCTCAAATGGATTCTCGACATAATTCCAGCAATCTTCTTCTTGCTCTTTCTCTCTGTTACAAACAACACACCCTGCAACGCACAGTTATCTCCTACCTTCTACGACGCTACATGTCCCACTGCACTCCGCACAATTCGAACCACCATCAGAACAGCCATCTCTCGTGAACGTCGCATGGCAGCTTCCCTCCTTCGCCTCCATTTCCACGACTGCTTCGTTCAAGGTTGTGACGCATCAATCTTGTTGGAGGATGGGCCTTCGATAGTAGGAGAAAGGAATGCGTTGCCTAATAAGGGTTCTGTAAGAGGCTACGAAGTGATAGACGCTGCAAAATCTGAGGTGGAGAAACTATGTCCCGGAGTTGTATCTTGCGCAGACATACTGACGGTGGCCGCCCGTGATGCATCAGAAATGGTTGGTGGTCCGTCGTGGTCGGTGAAGCTCGGAAGAAGAGATTATTCCACCACCGCTAGCTTTGTTCTAGCGGAGACCAGTCTTCCTAGCTTTAAAGCTCCTCTTGATTCACTTATTTCCACCTTTAAAGATAACGGACTTAGCGCCAGGGACATGGTTGCTTTATCAGGAGCTCATACAATTGGACAAGCTCAATGCTTCTTGTTTCGTGACAGAATATACAGCAATGGATCAGATATTGATGCCGGATTTGCTAGCACACGTAGACGTGGTTGCCCTCACTGGTAGAGAAAGCATTTAATAATGCGGTGGAAATGATTAAATAGGGCGGTTATTGAACCGCATCAAAAGATATAGCATCAAAAAACAACCCCATTTAATGATGCGGTTATAAAACCGCACCAAAAAATGATGAAACCGCTCCAAAAAACAAAAGGTTATACCAGTTAATTCGCACCATAAAAAACAAACCGCATCTTTAAACTATTAAATGAAACAGCCAATAAATGCAATATTATGCTTTTGAGTTAAATGTATCAATTTAATGCAACTTAATGCTATATTTCCAAAATATTGACTTCTTTAAGAAATCATCAGGTTTAACAAGTTCATACCCCTCAAACAAAACTTTCACATTCTGATTCTATTTACTAATATACGGTCACCAAAATAACATAAAATATCCATTAAAAAATTTACAATTGAACAGTAGAAGTAAAATACATTGTACTTCTAGATTTTCTAAGACTCGACAATACTATGCATGAAAGCCATTCTCTACCAGCTCCCTCGACTTAATCGGTCCAACCGCCGAAATTGTCAACAAATCTGGATAGATATGGCAGGATTGGGTCGTTGTGATCATCTTTCCAAATAGAGGGCTTAAAGTAGCTAAAACTCATTATAAAAGGTCAAAAGAAAACATTTTAAATTCAATTAATTCTTTGGTATGAAAACACAAGCATACCCAACCAAAATGAGATACAATAAAGAAAAGAAAGTCATGCCTTAACTTGATATTGATTTCAAGTTCAATCTGCAGACTTTTTCCTGTAATGAGTATGCAGATTTAATTGTTAGAAAAAAAAGTGTTTAAAAACATACAAAGTACATAGTTTTTGAATAACAGAGAACTTGAGAACGTTATGTTATTAGAAACATCCAATAGTTGGATACAAAGCTTCTAAATCTTTTAGGGTGAAAACATCAGGACAGTATCTTAAGCTTTCCACTTCTATTGAACAAATAGTTGAGTTATGCTCAGGCACTATGATTATGCAGATAGTATACACACCTTTAAAAAAAGAGACTTTAACATAAAAAAAATTTGTTTAAGTTATATACAAAAGAGTAAAATCTCACCGCAATGTGATTTATAGAATTACCCTTTCATTGAGCTTCAGTTGGTATTTGTAGAAACTAATCCAAAAGTCAAAATTAGATAATAAAAAAAAATAACAAAGCTTCATAAACGGAAAAGGTCAAGGTATGTAGTACAAACATGAGAAAAATTAAATTTTAGAAGCTACTTAACCAATCAACAAAAAACCCTACCTGTGTTGTGTCGATTCTTGGTGTTCCCTATCTCGATGACCACTCCAAACCATGAATTTCTTCAAAAATAAAAACAAAATTGAAATTAATACAAAAAAGATGGAAGTGACGAATAGTGAAAAAAAAGTTAAAGCCGATACTAAAAAGACGTTCAAGCATTGATGAGGTGAAGATGCATAAGATGAAAGGATTGGGGTAACGTCACACCCCCAAACCAGACGGCGGAAACGTCCGGGGGTGGAGGACTTCATTTGTAGTATCACAACACATGTATAATAGTAATCAAAGTACAAACAACCATTTTATTTAAAAAGTATAAATATTTACATGAGTTTCACTAATGTATACAGTAACTAAAAAGTTTGTACAAAAGAAGAAGACAAGACATAAACAACTCCATCTTCTCAAAAGCTCGGGGTGTACCTGTCTACTGGTTCCCTGAGAATACAAGTAATTTGAAAATAGAGTATCAACATAAAGTTGAGTGAGTGCATAAGTATTTATGTTTTGAAAGAATGTTTTCTGTTTTCTTGAATATGTAAACTGTTTCCAGAAAATCCTATATTTTCTGTTGTATGTGAAAAGTAGTTTTAGTTACATTAAACTGTTCTATTTGTAAATCAATGTTATGTATTTGTAATCCTTTTGTAAACGAGTATCTGAGAGTATATCTGAATTCATCAACTGTTATTGTAAACTGTAATGTAATACTGTAAACTGTATCTTGTAAACTAGTACTTTGGAATAGTACATAAGCTTAGTTAATTATACACTAACGTATTGTTAATATCTTTTAATGAGTTATTATAACCATACTGACTAGATGGCCTGACCCAGCACTATGAGTGCACTGAAAACATGTTGATAACAATTTGTCACTCACGGGCATGTATGCCTGACTGTAGCTAGCAGTCCGAGTGCGGGGTTGTCAATCCCAATATAGATCTATACACACATTGTTTCGATCCCCGGCTGAAGATCATGGTTATAATGTCATGACTTTACTATATTGTTTAAAATGAATTAAACAACCTATACTACTTGACTCATAAAAGCATATAAACGTTACATGTATATTAGTTATGAAAACCCAATTATTCTGAAGTAAATGATTGATAGTATGCTTTAGAATTAGTATTCTTAACATGTATCTGAAAGAATGTATATCCTTGAATAGTTTTGAATCAATCTTTGTTCTTGTAAATTAATGTAATATAGTATACTTGAATCGTGAATTAATGTTCTTTGAATCATAAATTATACCTATTATAATTCATATGTACTTTCTGATTTGATAAGGAGTATCCATGAATGTAACCCTTTGCTCAACATGTTACAAAGGGTAATTGAAACTAAATGAAAAAACTTTTATACTTGTA